CTCGATTTGAGCCTATTTTTAAAAACGGCTAACTCAATATTTTAACAAGAAAAATATTATATAAGCCTCGAAATTTAGCTAATAGATGTTCAACCCTTTGTGCCACCTTGAGCAAGATTTTAAGGCTTGCATAGTATTTTTCCTAATAAAATATTTAGTTAGCCATTTTTAAAAATCGGATCAAAATGAACCGTTTAACAACACTTCCCCAAAAGGAAAGGAAAATTCCCATTCAAAAATGGGAAATCGTTATTTTTTTAAATTTTTATTTTTCTTACTATATCTTTTCTCAATTTATTTTTCTTCTCATTTTTGATAATTCTTTTGTCTTATTAAAAATAATTTAGAAATTGCTATTTTTTCTCACCTCTGTGCTCCATATTTTTAACAATTTTTTACTTTTATTTGAATTTTCATGATTTTTTCTCCTTATTCTAATCTTTTACATACATTTTTAACCTTTTCAATCTCTAAATAATTTTTAATCTTTATTTTTTTGATCTTTTCTCAATTTTTTTTCTTCTTATTTTCGATAATTCTTTTTAGGAGTTATATTTAATTTTCACTAAATTTTTGGCAGAGAATTTTTTTATATTATAATTTTTTACATATCAAATTATTTAATTACAATTGCAAAATAAATTAATCGTTTGTATTAATGTACCTTTTTAAAATTATATAAGTTTGATAATACCAAACGATATGTAAATTAAATATGATCATTTTTAAATTCTTATTTTTAAAATTTTAATATTTGAGCAAGAAGTATTCAATATTTTTGAGCAGTAAATAATTTTTTGTAATTATTTTTAAAAGTATATTCTTTGATTCATGAATAATTAAACGTAAAATGAGATAAAAGTTATAATCTAAAGGATTTTAGTCCTTTTTGTCATTCCTTCCATTTGTTGAGTATATATTTTAAAAAGAATTTTTTTTTTGTTTTAAAAAATGGTAAAAACAAGGAGAAAAAACATTAATAGTGAAACAAAATCTCTAATAATTGATGCATTGAAAAAGGTTAGTATCAAAAATATAGCAACATATTTTAAAGTAAGCTATAAGACAGTGACAAATGTTAAATACTCCCATTTCAAAAAAGAATAAAATATAGTTTGCCCAAAGGAGGTTCACGTGCATGCAAGAAATTAAATTAAGAACAGGAAGAATATATATTAAATTGTATAAATTTGGATTGCACTTTATCCTTAAAAAGGTAATGTGAAATGATTAAAGAAAGATAAGGTGAAAATATCAAAAAATACAGTATCAAGGTTACTCTCAGGATTTAGGTACAGCTTTAAAAGAGTATCACTATTTACAGTTAGAGAAAATACCGAATCAAATATCGAGATTCGCATAGAATACGCGAATTGGTTTGTAGATGTAGTCTATATGAAGGAAAATTTATATTTATCGATGAGAGCGGGTTTTCAATATCAATGAGACGTATTAAATAAATAAAAAAGGCTATTAAAAATGTTCAAGAGATAAAAACAATGAAATACTCTCATTGCTGCTCTCACAATAGTAGGAATATTCAGATTCGAAGTTCTTGCTGGCCCCTGCAACGCTATATACTTTAACAACTTTGTAATGAAACATTAAATCATTTTGAAGGTAACATAATGAATATGATTTTTGTGATGGATAATGTTCCATTTCATCATAATCATACAATTAGGGAATCGATAGAAAGAAGGGTATACATTGAAATACTAACTACCTTGCAGTCCTTATCTTAATCCCATTGGAAATGTGTTTTTTCAATGGAAGGATCAGAAATCAAAATCCTAGTAATGAGGAAGAATAATTCGTTTCATAGAGCATGTAGTGGGAAGAATATCTGAGGAGAATGCAAAAAAATTATTTTAGAAATATGGAGACCTATATTCCAAAATATAGAAGAGGGGAAATTATTATGTATTAATATAAATTTTTGTTTCTTACTGTATTATACATCGTAATTGTAATTAAATAATTTGATATGCAAAAAATTCTAATAAAAAAAATTGCTAAAAATTTAAATTAAATATAATTCCTAAAAATGATTATCAAAAATGAGAAGAAAAAAAATTGAGAAAAGATCAAAAAATAAAGATTAAAAATGAAAAGTCAAAATAAAAGTAAAGAAATGTTAAAAACATGGAGCAGAGAGGTGAAGAAAAATAACGGAAAATTTATAAATTATTTTTAAAAATACAAAAGAATTATCAAAATTGAGAAAAAAAATAAATTGAGAAAAGATATAGTAAGAAACATAAAAATTTATAATTATTTTAAAAAAATAACGATTTTCCTTTTTTGAATGGGAATTTTCCTCTTTTGATTGACACTTTTCCTTTCCTTTTGGGAATTTTTCTTTTTTGATTGACACTTTTTCTTTTTTGATTCGACCTTTCCTTTTTGTTTGACACTTTTCTTTTTTTGATTGAATCTTTTCTTTTTGTTTGACACTATTCCTTTTTTGGATTTTTTCCTAAATCTTTGGGACTTTTCCTTTTTTGATTGACACTTTTCCTTTCTTGAACGGACCTTTTCTTTTTTTGATTGGACCTTTTCCTTTTATGATTGGTGTAAAACAACTTTAAAATGCTAAACGATTTAAAATTCAACGATTTGCATAAAACAATGTCAATTTAATATTTAACTTTTCTAATCATCCTGCATAAAAAACGCATATTCTCTAAATGAAACATTTAGAAATTTATAAATGATTCTGATGAAGCCTTAACATCTATTGATGAAAGTTGTCTAGATAAACTTAAAAGATTCATCGCTCATAAAACAAATAACAATGATATTTTGAAGTTTTAAAAGCATGAAAATTAATTTCCTTTTTTGAGAAAATTAGTTAGTAAAATTTTAATAGCCCCTGCAAGTTTGGCCTCTAGTGAAAGGCTATTTTCTATAGCCATTCGCATTAGAGGAAAGGCAAACATTATTAAAAAGTATGGATATTTTTCTTTTTCTAAATAAAAATTTTATTTATAAATATTACTATGTAATGTTTCTTTAGTTTAGCTAAGGAAACAGAACAAGGGGGTATATAAAAAAGGAAGTCAAGAATATCAAAATAAACAGTTGTTTTGAATATATCATATTATACTCGTTAGAATAATAGATGAAAACATTATAAAAGTTGGCTATAAATTCGAGATATATATTATAATAAAATCCAAAATAAATAGTATAAATATAATAAAATCCAAAATAAATAGTATAAATATAATAAAATCCAAAATAAATAGTATAAATATAATAAACGAATACCAGTTAGAAATATTTAAAGACACTAAAATCAATGTATAAATAATATTCTGTAACAAAAAAAATTAATCGAATAAAAAAATTCCTTAATTACAATAAGCGTATTTTATAAATTGTAATTATTTTGTGTTATTTATATGGAATTAGAGAAATAAAAGTTATGATAGAATAAATTCAATAAAGGTTAAAAGTTTAGCAATAAAATTTTAAAAAATTTAAAAACACCGTGAATTTTCGGACGTGATCAAAATATTAACTTTAATGAATAATATCCGCAAACTTATTATCAAGTTTTATATTATACAATTGTAAGAATAGAAAAATCGTTTCAACAAACCGTAAAGGACCATTTACTTAATATGGAGCAATTTACAGTTCAAAAACTTGATGAAAATCATGTTTCAGTATTCTATGAAGATGATTTTGATCTTTGGACTGTTCAAAGCTGAAAAAATATACAATAAACATTTTAGACGTCATTACCATGTAAGAAAAAAAATATTTAGATTTTTTTTATGTAAATGCTTTTAACATTTACGGTAAGGTGGAACGATCTTTTTCAGGACTAACAAGTCTTAAATCTTAATTACTTTATACGATAAAACACCGATGAAAAAATTGCAATTTAAAATGTTTATAAAGAAACAAAAACTTGTTTTAAATATGATGATAAATATTTTTATAAACAAAAATGTAGTGTTGTTAAACGGCTCGATTTAAGCCGATTTTTAAAAACGGCTAACTCAATATTTTAGCTAGAAAAATATTGTCTAAGCCTCGAGATTTTGTTAATAGATGTTCAAACCTTTGTGCCACCTATGAGCAAAATATCAAGGCTTGCATAATATTTTTCCTAATGAAATATTGAATTAGCCGTTTCTAAAATAGGCTCAAAATGAGCCGTTTAACAACACTACAAAAATGAAATAAGAATTGTACCTTAAAAAATATCAAAATTTATTATATTATATCATTCACAAAATAAAAATATATTAAATATTATTTACATTTAGTCATTATATTATAAAAAATAGGTTAAGGGAAATTTTTAAAAATAGGATTTTCTGTACTAAACGAAAAATACAGCTTTTTTTGCTATTTTTTTTATATTAATTAAAATTTTATTAGGTTTTTTTCTAAGTTTTGAATATTTTTAAAAAAAATTCAGCCCTTATAGACATTTTCTCTGGTTATACTATGCGCATATAATTCATTTTTTTATCTAAGTTTATTTATTATGTAAAATATTTTTTATAATCAAGTGTTTTCGTACAAATTGGCTGAAGTTAATATTTATTATATACTTGTACATGTAATTGTAATATATTATAGAATATATGATATAAAGTTTATTAAATAGAGAACTATATATTCTATATAAAGTGAACATAATTTTGTTTCTGATTATAAGAAAAATTTCTAAGAAATAATTTAAAAAATTCCTTAGCCTATATCAACATCAGGTAAAAATAAAAACGCATTCAAGCCCAAACTGGAACCTAATTTGTTATGAAATCGCTAAAATATCATTAAAATTGGAAGATGTCTAATTTTTGGTTATAAAAATAAAAAATATATATTGTTGGAAACTCAAACTGCATGAACTAGTAACATATCGTGTGCAGTTCTATTCTAGATTGATTAAAGGAGTAAATCATAATTTTTTAATTGAAATTTTATATAATCATTATTTATTTAGTTGGTCTATATATATATAAATAATATTTTAATATATTATGTCAAAATTAGAACTATATAATAACAATATATTTATTTAATATAAAAAAATCGAGAATTGTGTTGGAATGAAATTAATATAAATATAATCTTTGACACAATCAAAATTTTTTCGAAATGTAATTAATTTTTTTTACATAATATTAAAATCATAAAAGCAGGTATCGCGCAGATAAATAATAATATTCGCTATTCAATTTACAAGGTAGAAGGGATTAATCATGAGATATTCCTAAATTCAAAGCATTCGCAGTTTTGGGATTGTCAAATCTATCCATCGATTTAGTTGAGAGCAGAACGGATAAACCAAATGCCAAAACTGACACCATGACACCCGAACTAAACAATCCCATCCATAATGAAGGCGAAAAGAAACCAGTACAATCATTCACGCGTTTACTAAATGAACTATTATGAATGCCAAACGCTTGAACCTTTTATTATTTTGTTTCGTTATAAAAAAAATTATTTTAAATATGCAAACATTGTTTTATACTTGCTAATATTTTCAGAATGTTATAAATACATTACCATACACACAACATAATATTATTGCTGTCAACTTATTGATTGCTATACAATACTATATAAAATCGGGTAGGTCAGTTAGCAGGGGATTTTTTTTATAAATCATATGGTGTTCAGGCGCTAATTTTATTTTACTTTGAAGTGCTAATTTTAATTCTACAATACCTTTTTGGGGCAAAGGTTAGTTAAGGGGAAAACACAAATGCCTAGTGGGGCTAAAAAGAATTAAAAATAAAGATACAACGAAAACAGCAAAAATATGTCGAATTATCAGTTTTAATATACTTATAAATAATGGACGAATTAAAAGTTATATAAAGATATGATTTTCTATTCTACAGACAAAAATTTTATATTGATAGGAGAAAATTGTAATCGAAGGAGAAAAATCTCTTCAAAAAAAAATTTAATAAGATACTAAAGAACGACGAATATAAAAACCGTGAAAATATGTCAATATTTTGACAAAATTCCAGTGGTAAAAATTCGTTCTATATTGATTTAAAAGTTATAAACAATTTTATCTCAATTTTTTTTATCATTTAATGCAATATAAAAAAATTAAGATAGATTTCGATTGGAAAAGTTTTTCCTTCATTCAAATTCGTATTGCTATTATCCTAATATTTTATGATGATAAATTATAAAAAGGTATTAAAAAAACCTGAATTTTTTTAAAGTGCAATAAGAGAAAGTTTCTATCGGAAGGTTTATTTTTTTCGGTCCAGGGCATATCATCACAAACAAAAGAATGGTTAACGTATGCTCCCAATTCGCAGTGCATTCTTAAATTTACATCGTTGGCCTTAATATCATTTAGAGGTGTTTTCAATATAACATTCGTCGTGGAGTTAATGAGCTTCCAATAATTTCGGCTGCTCCTAATAAAAGTCAGCCTATGCTCTTATTAAAATCAAGTAGAAATTATATTTGTTACCCCAAATTTAGCTCTTGTAATCCTGATGGTAAATTGGTGAAGTTTATTTTCAAACTAAAAAATAAATTTGTATATTATATTTCATTCATAATAAGTAATTGTACCCAACAAGCAATTAAAAATAATGAAAGTTTTATTAATAACTTTTGAATCTTTTCATCCTTGCATTCAGGCACTTTTAACAAATGATAGCCAACGTTGGTTAATGGAATGGATTCGACTAGTCTTGGAATTTTTTGTTTATTGATATGAAGCGAGGCATTCTCGATGTAAACATATACACAAGTTCCATTTATAAACAGTCCATTAGGTGAGCTAGTACTATTTCCTTTATTTCCATCTTTAATTGCCCTAGCAATTCTATTTACCTCAATTACAGGATCCTTGGTATGTTCGTTGACTGTGCAATGCTGTTTGGTAATTAAAGTGAGTTAAAATTTAATAATAGAAAGAAAACTTCTTCATTTTGATTCATTAATATTAATTTAAAATGATGACTATTGTGAAGTTTATCCAGCATTTTCATGATAAGCAAATCTAGTTAATATAAATATTTTTTACATTAAAATGTGAAAATCTTTAGATATCATGATTTATCAATAAACATCATATATCGAAAACAAAATATTCAAAATTAAGTAATAATTTCAACATTTTATTATGAATTATTCATTAATATATTCGAATTTTATGAATACAAATAATTGATACCTCAAGAGAAATATTTTTATAGAGAAAACAAATATAGAGAATGTTGTTTTTATAAAATATTTTTGTAGAGAAGGTTTTTTATCGAAAATTTCATTTACAAAGAAAGAGTATAATTTTATATAAGGAAATGTTTTTACTAAAAAGAACTTGTGACTAGGACATGGCTGCTAGCAGCCAGCCTCTTCAACAAAGTTGGGCAGATTTAATAAAAGCTGCTAGTAGTGTTGTAATCGATCGGGTTAGACATCCTCTAAAAAAAGTTTTCTAAATATTTTATAAATACGGTTTTCATAACACTAATTTTTATTCTTCAGCGCTTAGAATTTTTCAGGTTTCGTTGAAATATGTCTTTACGAACATGCAATAAAACAAATCGGATCTGATAGGACATATCTATAAAATAAAATTTCGAATCAGACTAGGATCCTTGAAAGAAAATTCTTGGGTTGAATTGGTTAGGGGTGTATGGCTCTAAAATATATCCAGAACAAAAATGAGTTATCTTAAATGCAAGAGGCATCTATTTTTTTTAAAAAATAGCAACAACTAAAACCATGGCTAATTTTTTACAAATAGATATAATATATGAATTTAAATATTTTCGGATAGTGAAACGCATGGAAATTTATCATGTAAATAAAAACACCACCAAAAAAACTTATAATAAAAATGGCACCTTATTTTTATCTTTTGCTATTTTTTTTAACATCAACAAAATCATAAAAATACCTTTTAAATATTTTTTTTATCAAAACATTATAATAAACATATATATCAAAATTACAAAAAAATAATTCATTTTATGATTTTTTTTGAATATTCCAATAAACGTTAATGTAACGAGTTCATTTTTGGTAAAATAATTTTGAGCATTTAATATGTATAAATCAGTATATCACATTTATATGTTGCATTTATCGTGCACCATTTGCAATGATTATGACGATTGGCTTTAATTGGCATATTATTTTTCTATATCTCGCAGATCAGATCAATTGGCTGTTCAAATATTGTTTTTAAGGTGCACTTTCAATCATAGATCGTACAATAAATATTGTAAATAGAAGGTGTCCCACCAGAAGAAATATGTATTCTCCAGCGGCTACACGATTAAAAAATAGTCACTTACCCATCATTTTTGCTGAGCAGCCGAGGACGATAATCACTCCAAAATCATCCAATAAATCAATTCCTCCCAGATATTAAATATATCAGGCAATCATATTGGTTGATGGATATTAACATACACCTTAAATTGAAATTAAATCGCTTGACTTTATTTAGAAGATATATTCCTTTATGCTTGCTCATCACTGTTACTGGACGACTATTCTCCCAATAACATTAAGCAATCTTTATTACTGAAGGTTTTATAAGATCCTCGGAGACTTTTTTTCACAAGTTTTTAATTCAACGGACATTTTTCGGTTCGATTTATGCTGATTGTTCCTGCACAACCTATAATTTTTTCATAGCATTCTGCATAAATTTATGGAAGTAATAAAATTATCAAGAATAGTCCATGTCTTGAATGCTAGAAATTCTGCTAACTCCCTCAGAACTCTTCCAAGAGGACTAGTTTCATTGTTATCCCTACTGGTATAAATATCAAAAACAAAAGGATTTACACGAGAGATAAAACATAAACTTTTATAACAAAAAAAGGATTTATACGAGATAAAGATAAAACCTAAACTTTTATAACAAATCTTAATGGCTTTCCTCTTATGTATATCTTTATGGTTTGGTTTCCATAATAGGGGATCATTTGTTCACCCAGATATAAATTTTCCTTTATTTTCCCAAATTGTTGTAAATTTCGACCAATATAAAATGGTCTAACCTTCACGAATTTATCCGTTTTATCGATATCGAAATTGTTGACCAGGTGCAAATATCGTTTTATTAATTGAAAAGATTTTTAGACATTTAATTGAAGATAAAAGCTGTTTTTGAATAAGAGAATTTTCATGCTGGCTATAAAAAAATCTAAAAAATAATTAAAAATTAAAATTAGATATTGTTATTATTTGCCAATGTTAAATGGAATATATAAATATTTTACCTTAAATTAGATATTGTTATTTGCCAATGTTTAAAATGGATTATATAAATATTTTACCTTGAGAAACGAGTACCAACCCTGTTAAGAGTTATAGTTTAGCATATGAGTTATTAGAATATTTTTTTTTTAATTATTTTATCTTAACTATTTAAAGTTTTTTAGGCTCAAAACAAATAAATAAAATATGCAACTTAAAAGCTTATAAATTTAATAAACCAAGTTCAAAAAAGGTCTCATTATATGGTGAAACAGACCACTATTTTTTAATTTATAAATCCTAAAACAAGAGAATTATCCAACACCAAGGTTGATGTTCCAAATCAAACAATGATGATTAATGGGTTAATTTCCATTTATTTTTGGAAAAAGTGTCATTTTTGACCACTGTTATGATATTCAAAGACTATAAGTAATAGGCTAAAATATTGGCTTAATGATTTTCACTCAATAGGCAAAATTTTTTATCAAACTTAAAAAGGTTGGGCAGCTAAGTTATCTATTTGATTGGAATTACCCAATAACAATTAGAGGATAAATTACTCAAAATATCTTTATGGGCAAAGCAAAAGTTTTGAAAATTTCTTAAGGCTTATAATTATAAAATTTATGTCGTTTTCCTTTAAAAAAAGTTATTAAGGACCAGGCTGGACAATTTGTCTGGGTCTAAATAGAATGTAATGGGCTGATTTGAGTCTGATTATGCAAACCTCTAATACTGATACAGTATGGCAAAGTTATAATTCATCAATATTATTTATAATCAATACGAAATATATAAAAGTAAAATAACCCACACCCTCCCCCCAATTCTACATCCGATTGTAAAAATTTGTTCCCATTATCTTCTAAAAACAGTACAACATAATATGGGAGGGGTTAGTGTTGTTAAAAAGTCTTGCTGTTAAAAAGTCTTGTTTTTAAGACTCTGAACTCAAGTTACGGTCGAAAAACAAGACTTATAATTGAGTGAATCAATGAGCCGCATGAGTTGGCTTCTCGAATTTATTTTGAATAGGTTTGCTATTATTATTTACTCGAAGGAAAATATTAAAAAATTTTACCCACTTTGTTTTGGGCCGAATTAAATATTTTTAAATTGGAATTCTTATGTGTATTGTTCTAGAAGATAGTCATGCTATTCCTCAATTATGACTAAAAGATAGATAAATATTTACTATATATCAAATTTAAAATAATATAAAAATGAGTCTTCCCTTTAAACCCAGTGTCAAATAAGAGCTTGATATAAAAATATGTAGAAGTTTTCTTAAATAAGCTTTACCCCTCCTGAGCTTGAGCCAATATCAAAAATATTATCACAAACCTGAACATGGAGGGAAGGCTTGGAATAAGTAAAATATTTTAAAACTGTTGAATATTTCATTTGACATTTTTTTGTTAGCAAAAAATTGATAAAATTTTCATGGTTTGCCAAAATTTTGTTACTGATAATCTTTTCATTTTTGCTCATACTGATTAAAGTCAGACACTATCAAAGCACAAAACATTGACATATTTTAGAATTAGTACTTCCAATTGTTTAGTCGATTTTAATGGAGATTATATAAAGATATCCATGGAAAAATTATAAATATATTTTTATAGGAGGAAACCAGCCAAAGGCCAGGAAAAATTTGGTTTGAGAGTAAAATCTCAAAAAAAAATTCAACCCCCCCCCCCCCTAGGATAAATTATGGTCATGCCACTGCTCCATTTGCATAACCATTCTGTGGGAAAGTTTCTATCCTACCAGAAACTTGTTCTTGTAAATATCATTTTTAAAGAAATTACCTCTACACCCCCCCCCCAAAAAAAAAATATATAATATATCACTATAAGCAAGGAAAAATAAGTAAAATTTAATCATTTATTTAAAAAATGACTATAAATTTTTAGTTTTTAAAAAAAAAGTGAAAAATTATTTTTATAAAAATATAACAGCCAGAGGTCTACAATAAGTGGACCTAAAGACCTCCAATAAAATTTATGGTGAAAACCCCTCTCTAATAATATTTTCCTCCATTAGAAGAATCTTGGATATGTCTATGACTGATACCATTGTATTGGGCATCTAAATGAAAATCATGAGGATCTTGTAAAATTATATTTAAAAAGATTTGGCCAATGAAAAAAACATCTTCTTGCTTAATTGATTCAACCTAAATGTAATAAGGAAAACCCCATCATTGCAAAAAAAAAATATCTATAGCAAAAAAAATCCATATTCTCATTCTGTGATATATGAGTTTATTCTACAATAAGATTTTGTTCCATTATTTCAATCAAAAGATATTAATATATTTTTTAAACATGTATATGATTTAAAGATTGAAATAATTACCTAATAATTCAAAGCAGTTTTCATTGTTTTCAAGAGTTATATGGAAAAAAACTCCCTTGTTTAGTTTAGCTAATATCATTGGAATATCCTCTTTACCAGACAATAAAATATTCTCTGATATTTGATTAGGTTTCATAAAAACTGATTTAGAGTGACACAAATTTTGGATAAATGCAAGATGAACATTATGTTGATTCTAAAAAATAAACTATTAATATATTAAATCAATTTATACTTCTAATAATCTACTCTGTTTGGACCATAATACAAGATCTAAGCTAGAAAACTATAAAATATACTGCCAAATTTATTAGATCAAGAAAATTTTACATTATTTTTAGTTATGAGAACAATCAAATCTTCCTTTTCAAAGCTTATTTGGGGTAATGTCTTAGATTCTCTTCAAATTTCGATTGTTAAGTAAAAATATATTATTATATATACCTATCGCTCCATATTAATACAGGTGAGCTGCACACGAATAGTAAATTAACCCAAAATGACAAAAATATACATGAAAATCGAAGGGCATTCATATTTATATGTTTGAAGTGAATATATTGGTTAATCACAATATGATAAAATTTAGCTAGTGCTTCATGATAACCATCCGAAAAATTATTATATCATTTACATTTTACTGAATAAGATTATTCCCTAATATTATTAAATCTCTTGTTCAATACCCATCATTTAAATATAATTTAAAGTTATAATACCGGATATGCACCTATATCATACTTCTTATCATCGATAATAACAAATAATTTGTTTTAGTAATATTATTTCTCGTTTTAATATCTTAGTAAATACTATCAATAAGTTATGGCATTTGAGGAAAATAAAATGACATTTTTTCCTTGCTAATAGGCGTATGGTGTAGAATTATATTCTCCTTAAGGCTACCACAATTTAAAAAAAATAATAATATATACCTATTGATTAAACTTCTATAAAATCTACCATCAGCTTAAAATTAAACAAATCTATCTAAAAATCTACCAATCTCCCACATGTAAGTATCTATATTTATATTATAATTTTTCGATGTCCTCATCGGTACGTATTTATTTATATATTTTTTATTTGTTGATTATTATTTGTTGATTTTATTATTTTTTTCTATACAAACAGATGATCCTATATCTTAATTTTTCTATGCAACTGTAGGATGCCATATTAAAACCTTAAATATCCTTATAATTTATCATCACAAAATTTTACAACCTATGCAAGTATTGGATATCAGTATTACATTAAATATATCTAATATTACAACTTATTATTTATTATATTTTTTTCTATACAAACAGATGATCCTATAACTTAAGTTTTCAATACAACTGTAGGATGCCATATTAAAACCTTAAATATTCTTATAATTTACATTACAAAATTTTACATTGGATGTCATAGTAATACATTGAATATATCTATTTACAAAATATTACAAATTATTAATATTTTATATGGAAATTTAATTTAACTTGTACATCAGAGATTTTTTCTCCATAACTTAATTTTTGGAATTATCTCCAATAATACGAGGTAATATTTGTTATTTCTTATAATAATATTAGGGCAGACCTGATTTTGTCATGATTATTTGTGTATTTTCCATTTTATATTTTAACAGTCTTTTTTTATAATATTATATTTTCATGTACGTTTGTAATATTGCCGCATAAGAGTAATAACTCATAGATTAATTGGTAAATCAGGAATTTCCCATTCATTAATTATAAATTTAATATCTCCAGGTTTGGGAAAATTTTTTCAAAATTATTAAAGGTTGGACTAGACTTAATTATAAATTTAATATTTCCAGGCTTGGGAAAATTTTTTCAAAATTATCAAGGGTTGAACTGGACTTAATTGTAAATTTAATATTTCCAGGCTTGGAAAAATTTTTTCAAAATTATTATGGGTTGGACTTAGTGTTGTTAATTGGCTAAGTCGAGTCGACTTAGCCTAAAATCTAATCAAGTTTTGAGTCGCAAAACTCATTTCAATTTGAGCGGCGGCTTCAGAGTCGTCTAAGGTTTATTTTGAATCGGCCTGCTATTATTATTTAATCCACGATAAATATATTAAAAAAATTTAACACCTATGGTTCGAAAATTTAAATATTTTTTAAATTCGAAATGTATTATTTTAAGAATATGACCATGTTACTATTAATATTATCTAAACCCCGACATTTCGCTGATAGATGTCTAAACTTTTATGCCATCTATGACCACAATCTTAAAGCTTACATAATAGCTTTCTGGATAAAATGTTGAGTTAGCCGTTTTTAAATTGGCTCAAATCGAGCCTTTTAACAAGACTACCTATACAATTATTTAGAATATATATAAAAAAAGATTTTTTTAAAAAAAATATTCAGACCTGGGTATGATTTTTTTTAAATATATTATAGGGGAGACCGGGGTTATATTGTCCATAAAAAATTGAATGCATAATATTTTTGATGGATAAAATACTGAGTTAACAATATTTATAATTACTAAATACATCTTTTAAAAACGTATCTACATACCAATACATCAACTATTGAATATCAATACAGAAACTGACTTAAAAAATTTATTGAGCTGATATCGCATCTATATACAAATATATATAATTAAGATAAATGATTGTTAGATTTTAATGCTCTGAGCCCATAATTTGTTTGTAAATTTTACGACTAAGCAAATTAACACTATACATAAGTCATTTTGAATTTTAAAATATTTAAATTATTTTTTAAATATTTTATCGTGGAGTAAATAATAATAGCAGGCGGATTCAAAATCAATTTTTTCCGACTCTGAAGCCGACTCATCGAGTCGACTCATGCGGCTCAGTGAGCCGCTCAATTTGAAATGAGTTTTGCGACTATAACTTGTGTTAAAAGTCGTAAAAACTCGACTATTTAACAACACTAGCCGACTCTGAAGCCGACTCATCGAGCCGACTCATGCGGCTCATTGAGCCGCTCAATTTGAAATGAGTTTTGCGACTTCGACTTGAGTTCAGAGTCGTAAAAACTCGACTATTTAACAACACTAGTGTTGGACTAGGCTTAAAAAATATTTCTCAAAATTAATATTGGCTTGGTTTTCAAAATTATTAGGGATTGAGGTGGGCTTGAGAAATTTTTTTTAAATTATTAAGATCTTGGATGCTTGGAAATTTTTCCCAATAGTACAAAAAATGTATAAAAATCATTAAGCATTATTACTCAAAAATATGCTATTAGTGAAAATAATTATAAATGTTCATAATATTTTCATTATAACATTATATTACAATATTCATGAGTTGGATATCAAAGTAATACATTAAATATATTTTTTTTACAAAATATTACAAACTATTTATATCATCATTAATATTTTATACATCTATATTATAATTTTCCGATGTCCTCACTACGTCACACTACGTCATCGTGACGTCATGTCATCGCTACGTCATGTCATCGCTACGTCATGTCATTACGTCATGTCATCGGTACGTATTTTTATTTTTTTTATTTGTTGATTTTATTTATTTATTTTATACAAACAGATGATCCTATAACTTAAGTTTTCTATGCAACTCTACATATTAAAACCAATTGTCAAAGTAATACATTTTTTACTAAATATTACAAATTATTAATATTTTATATAAAAATTCAACTAGGAGTTAACTTATAGATTAATTGGTAAATCAGAGATTTCTCATTCATTAATTATAAATTTAATATCTCTAGGCTTGGGAAATCTTTTTCAAAACTAATGCAACTGTAGGAGGCCATATTAAAACCAATTGTCAAAGTAATACATTATTTATTAAATATTACAAATTATTAAGAAAGCCTATCAAAAATGACGGGGAATGAGATTTTTATTCATTTTTTTACGATAGATATCATGCCAGGTCCAAGCTCACAATATTAAGAAGCATATAATTATAAAAAAGTTTATCAAACCCAGCTCAACCCTTAATAATTTGTAAAAGATATTCCAATGTCAGGTGCAAGCTAATATTATTTTTGAGGTTCCAAGCCCAGTCGTATCCAATATACTTTTGAAAATTTTTTCCCACCTCGGAGATAGTTAAATGTTTAATTGATTTATCATCACCTGAAGAGCAAATATCTGATTTATCAATTAGTTTAAGATGTAAAAAAAAACATTTTTGGAGTTATCTCCAATAATACGAAGTAATATTTTTTATTTCTTATAATAATATTAGGGCAGACCTTATTTTGTCATGATCCTCTAATAAGTGCTTTGTCCAGGCTTTCTCAGTTTCCCTTATTACCAATTCACATGTTTTTTTTTGCATATATAACTAGGAGTTAACTCATAGATTAAATGGTAAATCGGAGATTTCTCATTCATTAATTATAAAATTTAATAACTCTAGGCTTGGGAAATTTTTTCAAAATTAATGCAACTGTAGGAGGCCATATTAAAACCTATTGTCAAAGTAATACATTATTCACTAAATATTACAAATTATTAATATTTTATATAAAAATTCAATTTAATTGAGTTAACTTATAGATTAATTGGTAAATCAGAGATTTCTCATTCATTAATTATAAATTTAATATCTCTAGGTTTGGGAAAATTTTTTCAAAATTATTATGGGTCGGATTGGGCTAAAAATATTTCTCAAAATTAATATTGGCTTGCTTTTCAAAAATTGTTAGGGATTGAAATGTGCTTTAGAAAATCTTTTTAATTATTAAGATCTTGGATGCTTGGAAATTTTTTCCAAATATTGTAGGCTTGAAACTATATTGGGATTTTTTATGTTAAATGTTAATCTTATGTTAATATTTTTATGAAGAAATATATTTTACCGTAGACTAATTGATAAATCAGAGATTTCCCCTTCATTAATTATAAATTTAATATCTCTGGGCTTGGTTTCAAAATTATTATGGGTTAGACTGGGCTTAAAAAATATTTCTCAAAATTAATATTGGCTTGGTTTTCAAAATTATTAGGGATTGAGGTGGGCTTGTAAAAATCTTTTTAAATTATTAAGATCTTATATGCTTGGAAATTTTTCCCAAATATTGTAGGCTTGAACCTATATTGGGATTTTTTAATGTTAAATGTTAGTCTTATGTTAATATTTTTATAAAGAAATATCTTTTACCAGTAGACTAATTAGTAAATCAGATATTTCCCCTTCATTAATTATAAATTTAATATCTCTGGGCTTGGGAAATTTTTTTCAAAATTATTATGGGTTGGACTGGGCTTAAAAAATATTTCCCAAAATTAATATTTGCTTGGTTTTCAAAATTATTAAGGATTGAAATGGGCTTGAGAAAATCTTTTTAAATTATTAAAATCTTGGATGCTTGGAAATTTTTTCATATTTTTAAGGCTTTTCATTTTGTCGGGCCGTACATTATGCCCTTCTATGATGAATATTTTGTCTAACTAAAAATTATACAAAGTACATTTTTTAAAATTTAACTAAATTAATATAACATTTTTAAGGATCCTACTTTTTTAAGAGCCAACCCTTTTGTCGGATCCACCATTGCTCTATTATTCCTGCTGAT